GAAGAAAATCATAGACCACTTAGAAGAGCCAACCCCACAAAGTCTACGAAAGACATTAAAAAAATTAAAGCTAGGGAAATATTACAAAGCTATTCCCTATTTTTTGTCTGAAATTACCGGTAAGCGTATTCCTGATGTCCCAGACATGCAGAGAGCTGAGTGGATGTTTTGTCGGCTGGATAAGGATATTCCCTATTACCCTGACGTAATCTATGAAATATTCCAGCAAATGGATCCCCAGCACCCGCTGTTAGAATGGATTCCTAGACGATGATATGTGCAGCTGAAATCCACCTACATTTCTTTGGAAGCAAATGTCTACTGAGCGAGTTTTCTTTGTAGCTCCTCTTTTGCCTCCTGGTAGATCTTTTTGCGAGATTCCTCGGAAAGATCTTTCACGATGGTTTTTTTATTGCCCGACTTTAATTCGCCGTATTTCTTTTCCTCCGCGAGGATCAAAGAGAACTCCGCGTCGTCTATGCGGCGGTCCAGCAGAGCTTGGGAGACTAAGTCGGCGATGGTGTTAGCCTTTGCTCTTGCTAGGGCTATGTGAGTGTCGTGCTTGGATATCTTACCGGACAATTGCTTTATAATGCCTGTCGTAACAGCGGAAACGATGCCGCAGACGGCCCCGACGCCGGCCAAAGGAACGCCAACGACTATTCCAGGCCCGGTGAGTGAGGTAGCAACGCCAGTGCCTGTTAACGCCACGGACATGGAGCCGGAAGTTATCGCGATTTTATGTAGTATGCTTCGGGCTCTAGCATACTTTTTCCTGACCTCCTCATAGTGTTTTGTCTGCCCCTCTAAGTAAGCCAGGATTAGATTTGCCTTATTCAAACGGAAGTTCTCGGCGTTTAATTCGTTAGGTTCCTTAGGAAGTTCAGGATAAAGTGGAGGTGCTGATGGTATGACATCCATTATATATACTAATGTACGACGCTTTTGGGAATGATATACAGGAGCAGGCACATCATGACAACAGGGATTATGCCAACTGGAGGGCCTTTAGGAAGATGTTTCCGCATGCAGACCCTAGTAAGTTCGAAAGAAGATCCGATGGGATTTACTTCAACGGCTCCAGGATGTACAGCAATGCAGACTTGGAGCAAGTAGGTGATCAGGTGCAGCAATTGACAATTGTACACCCCGTTCATAAACCAACAAAACCCGAGCATAAAGCACCCAATTTTCCTAGAAACTTATTGTTAACCACGGAAGATTACCCATTTTACGATGCTGAAGGTGGTGTAAACAACTTTGAAAAAATGGTAACGCATCTAGAGATTTTAGTGGGTAAGCAATCGTTTAACGTAGTAGTAAGGAATATCTTTAAAGAGACGATGTTGAAGCATACGTCAGGTAAAGAGGCCAGGGAATGGTTAGCAGGACCCAACATGCGGTATTGGCCACAGCAGTTAAACTTTGCTATTTGGGCTGCCACCAAAGGTTGTGGTGTTGCCGCGGACATGTTCCACATTTCATTTATGCGGTTTCACGTTGCCTTTACGGTAAGGAGGTTGTTGAAGGAGCTTAACGTACCCCTACCGGGAGATGGAGCATTTGATCCAATGAATAACCGCTACGACTCCGCAGCCCTGGAAAGGTTAATTAATGAGTTCAAACCACAGCAAAAAGATTTTCGTTATAATGAGGGTAAGACGCATGGGCTGGGTATAGTTTATGTTTGGGGTGTCAATGGTGAGAAGCCGGCCGACTACGGGCATCAGGAATATCCAAGT